GCTCTCCTGTTGACAACTGCTGAACGTAACCGGTCTCCTTCGTGGCCACCTGTTGACTGCTGCTGAACTTCCTGGTGACCCCTTTTATAGCGTTTTTTTATGGCTTAACAGGCTCGAGAAACGAAGTGAGTATAATTAGGAGGGAAGCATTTTTATTGGACGAAAAATAGAGCACTTTAATTATTATTTTATTTTTCGACCGGAACACGTGTGTCGGAACCATTGTTAAAGAAAGTTAATGATCATTTTGTGACGGGGCTTTGTCCCGTTTACATCCGGTTCTCGCTCTTGAGTATTTGCCTGTAAATCAGCCGAGATATGTCATTTTATTTTATAACACTTCACTTTCCCTCAATCGCGACCCTTACAAGCTGTTCAAAAGGAAGTGCGTGAACCGGATGATAGGTGGACATCTATTCCTATTGAGGAGGGAAAAGTAACTAAATAAGACTTCAGGGTTTAAACGAAGACGTTAGACGTACGGATTTGAAGTAGACTTTAGAGGGAACTGATAAAGGAACAAACCTCTACTACCGTTCAATAGATAGGGGAGGAGTCTGAACCGGACGAATAAGTCAACCTATTTACTTATGTGACGAAAAAAAACAGTAAATAAAATTTCAGAGTTTAGGCGGAGACGTTAGATGTATAGAGTTGAAGTAGATTTTAGAAGGAACCGGAAACTCAATCCTAAACAGGAAACAAGGGATAAATCTCTACTCCTGCTCAAAAGACTGTGGAGGAGTATGAACCGGTGAATATGTGAACTTATATACTCCTATTGTACCTACGTAATCCTATCTCTAGTTATTTTTCTGTACTGTTCTGTTATTGCTCGCCTCGTTTCAAATGACTCCAAGTGCACACAGAAACGAAATGAACTCACAATTACTCATCAAATTTACAAACCAACGCCTTAATCCTTTGTCCCATAGTACAATCCTATGTGAAGAACTTGGAGCCTTAAACCTAACTTTACTGCTATGGTGTGTCGTTGCTGCTTACCATGCTTGATTGTACTCACGGAGGTTTCTCTCTTTTTTAAATTACAGCCAGCAATGATTTGTTCTGGACATTAAAATCAAACAGAAATAAATTTCCATGTAACAAAACAACTTAGGAACCCAATAAACTTTACTTTTTCTTGCAGAAAAAGGTCGACAAACAGAATGGAAATTAATTACTATAAAAAATTATAAAAAATTATATATAAAAATATTTTTTTTTATCTGTTAGAATAATTCAACAGTCAATATTCGTGGTAATGAAAAGGTTAATTTTTACTTGCGTTTTTAGAAAATCAACCAAGAAATGTTTTGAAATGTTAAAAACATCAAAACATCAGTTATTCTCTCCAGAATTGTGAGCCATTAATTTTTCAACTTCCATTTATCTCAACTTATTTCAGTTTATTTCAACTTCCATTTATTTCTCAAGTTGGGAATGATGTGTAAAATTTGTTTTATGTATCAACAAACGAAATCTTGCATTTGATTTTCGTGAATCCCAAATTCGAATGTTTCTTGCCATCAAGAAAGCTAATAAAAAAACGATCGATTTATACAGCTACAGTCATTGACACGGGTAGAGACTGTAAAGGGGTCATCAATTTTCATCAGATCATATCTGAAAGATGTGGAAGAAAGTTTTGAAGAATTTGCGCAATTTGCTGAACTGTTTAAAACTGATGTTGCTTCTCATTGTAAGGATGCAAAATAATGTTACCTCTCTTTTGACATGAAGAATGTACCGATGACTTAAGAGGCCAGAGAGAGCCATGTGATAGCCCCTTGGAGGGAATATTCAGATATTACTTGGCTAACAACGCAAGTCTGATGCATCCTAAAGAGAAATCCAAGACATACCACAGAGGTGTAGCGTGTCCCTCGATCAGTGAGAACCTTTTAACAAAAGTTACTCTTAATAACAAGAATTTTTTTTTAACTTTGTTTTTAATAAAATTGTCTCTCTTAGGTTAACACTAAAGATTGACCATTACGTAAGAAAGTAAACACTGTTGGAATTCTGTGGAGGCAGAGAAATAAACCTGAAGGTTATGCAAACACCAACTGCATTCGTTTGAAATCGGCTTTTTGGTTATTACTAAAACAAAGCGGGAAATTTCCAGTAAGACTAAAAATCAAATAGGAAGTTAAATCCAGTGGTTAAATTAATTTCTTTCTTTCTGAATATTTAATACAGTGTAACCCGGATATAAGAGACCCGGATATAAGAGAAACCCGGATATAAGAGAGATTTTCTCTGGTTCCAAATTTGAGCCTGTGTTACCTAAACAAAATAGACCAAACCCGGATATAAGAGAAACCCGGATATAAGAGACTTCTTCTCCGGTCCCGACAACTCTCTTATATCCGGGTTACACTGTATTCACAAATTGTTATATTTTCTTTTACTTATTTACTCTACATTTTTTGCATTTATTTTTTCTTTTTTTCTTTTTCTTTTTGATTTTTATTCTTTTTTCATTTTTTCTTTTGTTTTTTTTTATTTGTGTGTTGTTGCCCTTATTTCTCTTTGTTTTTTTTTTGTTTTTTTTTGTCGGTTTTTATTTTTATTTCTTGTATTTTTGTCTGTTTTTATTTTTGCTTTTTAGTTCTGTTATTGCTTTTAATTTTTAGCTTTTGCCTGTTTTGCCCTCTTTTCTTTTCTGCCTTTTTAACTGTTTTTATTTTTATAATTTTTTTTTTATTTTTATATATGTGTTTTTTATTTATTTTTATTTTGTCTGTTGTTTGTCTTTAGTTTTTATCATTTCTTTTTTTTTAAGTTTTTCTTATATGTTTTGTTTTATTTTTTTGTTTGTTTTTTTCCTTTTTTGTTATTTCCATGTTTTTGTCCTTATTTATATTTTTCCTTACATGTCTGGATTTATTTTTGTTTTGTCTTTTTGATGGTTTTATGTTTTTATTTTGTCTGATTTGTATTTTTTTTTTTCTGTATTTTTTATTCTTTGCCGCCTTAAACATTTTTTTTAATTTTCTTTTTTGTTTTATTTTCTTTATCTTTGTTTTTGTTTTTATTTGCTTGTTTTTCTCATTTTTGTTTTATTTTATTTTTCCTCTTATCTCTTTTGGTTTTTATTTTTGCATTCTAGTTTGTTTTTGGTTTTTTTCTGTTTTAGATTTTAGATTTTTTTTTTACTTTTTCCTTTTCTTTTATTTTAGTTTTTATCTTTTTCTTGTGTATTTTTGTTTTCCTTGTCACCTTGTCTTTTTCCAATTTTTCTAATCTCAAATTGACGTGAGGTTTTTCATATTCATATACGAAAATAAAATTCTTCTTTTGGTGTGGGGGATATATGATGAGAGTATTACGTGACGGTGCTGAAAAACCCACGATCCCAACCCAAAACAATGCGTATGTAATTCCAATTATTCCAATGATTCCATTTATTCCCCACATAGTTCAATATACGTTTGATTAACACTTCACCGCCACTAAAAAAAAACTTCTGATGGTTGGTTATTGAATTACCGCTATGGGTAAAATTGGTCAAACCGAGATAATTTCGGCATGCTTAGAACTCATCGACAGGAAGGTTAGGTTTAATACTCCAAGTTCTCCACTATCTTAGTGGATAAAAACGTTAGCTCGTGGATTCAAATCTCTGGGCCGGATGTGTGTAAATGAGGCAGGTAATGACTGATTCGTATTAAATAAAAACTTAACAAGCGATTCCTAGATATGGAGTTATGGTCAGCGGAATGAGAACCGTCTATATCCATAGGCAAAATAAAGGGTTCAGTTCTATAGTTCGGGTCGACAAGTAACTGATGAAAGCAGACAACAACGGCCGAAATTTTAGGACTAACAATGAAGATGAGAACAATAGTCCGTATGTAAATAATGATAACTCATTATACCAGAAATTCAGATAGAAATCTCCAGTATAATTTAAAACGTAAAACATTCTTTAAAAGGGGAATTAAAGCAAACATTATCTAATCTAACTTGACAGAAAGTAAATTTGTTGAAGGGTGATGCCGGCTTGATACATGTTTATGCATAGAGATAGAAGATATTTTGTTAATATTTTCAAAGTTTGAGGCTATATTGTAATATAGCAAAAGTTTTTGCACCATCTGTGTTTGATTTATTGTTATTTTACGGTTTACCAACCTTTTTCAGCTTATTTAAAATCGAAAACTATTTTAGATTGTAAGAACTTTTGGGATATAATAATGATTTACTATTAAAAGTCTTATTAATTAACCCATACCTCGAAGGATAAGAGGTTTATTCATTCCTTTCCCAATGGTTTTAGCGCTTAAGTGAAGATATCGATCCCTACTGGAATTAGAACTCGGCTTTCTGATTTCCAATTCCATTACCCATCTATCCAAACTTATAACACCTGGTATTCCCAAGATGTCGCCATTTAGGTATTGACCAATCTCCACTTTGTTTAACTTCTGTGATCGTACGAGTATGATATGTCCGTAATCCCATCTGTGTAGGAGCTATCGATTGTAGCGGTAAAGTTCATTAAGGTGTAAGAGTTCATAGTAAGCAGGTGTCATGCCACAAAGATACACACGTGCTACTTTTTTTTCAATTAGAGCCATTTGAGAGTATTCGGTTTGTGGGTGAGAGATTAATGTGTGGTCATTTCGGGGGATTACAGGGTACGTAGTTTCATGCCAGACATTTTTTAATCAGACTGCCGTTCATCTGCTATAACAAGGCCCTCAAACATATTGGTTATTAGCCGGAAATTTTTACCAACATTCAACTCTGAAATTATGGGTCAAGTTAATAAGATGGAAAGCATTATTTTTGGAGCGATCTTGTAGATGGAAGCCCCGAGCAGATATAATGTACTGATATGCTATCAAAATAATTTTTATCCTAGAGACAATTACAAGTGAACGGAGACAATATGGCACCTATGTAAAGATTTTTAAAATAGTTGGGCACCAGTGTGATCCTTGAAAATGGTTCATTTTGTTTCTCTCATACAATTGTTTTTTTACAGTTTCATGGTTTTCTTGTTATGTCTTGAACGATTTTTTTCGTCAATATTTCGCTTGGAATGCATTTTTTCAATTATTCCATACAATTACTGGTCTCTAATTTTCCTTCATATTACTTATCTGTCCAATCTAGTTTTCTTTTCCTTTTTTTCTCTTCCTCTTTGTTTATTTTTTCTCTCTTGCTTTATTTCTATTGCTTTCTTTTCTCTCTTCACTTTTCGACTTTTCTCTCCTTTGCTCTCTTTCCTGTTATTTCCGTTTCCTTTTCTTCACTCTTTCTCTTCTCTTTTATTCTCTCACCATTTTCCTTTCTCCCTTTCACTTTTCTTTTTCTCGTTCTATTTCTCTTCTTTCTCTCTCTCTTCCATTTCCTTCTCTCTTTTTCTTCCCTTTTCTTTTTTCTTCATTATTTTCCCTTTTCTTCTCTCCTTTTATTTCCTTGTCTTATTCTCTTCCCTTTTCGTCTTCCTTTTTTATTCTTCTCAATTTCTCTCCCATTTTTTTCTTTTCTTTTTCGTTCCCCTCTTCTTCTGTCTTTTGCCTTTTCTTCTCTTTCTTTTCCCTTTTCTCTCACGTGCTTTCCATTTCTTCTTTCTTTTTCTTTCTTTCTTTCTCCTTCTGACTTTCTTTCCGAACTTTTCTCTCTTTATTTGTCTTTTTCTCTTCCCCTCTTTCTCACTCGCATTTCCATTTCTTGTTTCTTTCTTTCTCCTTCTGTCTTTCTTTCCCCCACTTTTCTCTCTTTATTTTTCCTTTTCTTCTTTCTCTCTTCCCGTTTCTTTCTCTTCCCTCTTTCTTTTTCCTTCTCTCTCTTTTCTCTTTCTTTTCCCTTCCCTCTTACTGTTCCCTTTTCATTTCGCTTTTCTTTTCTCTTTCCCCGTTTATTCACACTCTCCTTTTTGTCATTTTTGTCTTTTATTGGATTCTTCCCGACTCTAATAAAATAAATCCAAAGCGAATCGGTAAATTAACACCTGCAATTGATGTATAGACCAAAATTTGATCACACATTTGATAATTAATCTTTTAGATACTAAATTGTCTCAGAAATGTATCCCTTCTCGTCTTAAAAAAAGTTAATTAACACAAGTCGGTGACACTGAAATTTATCCGGGTGCTGAAAAATACAAAATATTAACATCCAACCTCGTAAATATGCTGCTTTCGGGGTCGAATCTAAAAATATATAATGAGAGTGTAGAAGAAATACTTTTACAAACTTTAGGGCAGGTTCCTCACACCAAAACAAGGACAAAAATTCATATAAATATTTCCGCAAATCCTTAGCTATTAAGTGTAAAGTTTACTGTAGACGCTGTTAAATATACAATCCATGATAAAATGCAAGATACAATCCAAGATACAATGCAAGATACAATACAAGATACAATCCAAGATACAATCCAAGATACAACGCAAGATACAATACAAGATACAATCCAAGATACAATCCAAGATACAATCCATGATACAATGCAAGATACAATCCAAGATACAATCCAAGATACAATGCAAGATACAATACAAGATACAATACAAGATACAATCCAAGATACAATGCAAGATACAATCCACGATACAATCCATGATACAATACAAGATACAATCCATGATACAATGCAAGATACAATCCAAGATACAATCCAAGATACAGTCCAAGATACAATCCAAAAATACAATCCAAAAATACAATCCAAGATACAATCCAAAAATACATTTACAATTTTGGGGCGGGTTCAAGACACCAAAACATATGTCAAAAGGACATCGTTGTACCACAAGTAACCACATCGTTGTACCACAGTAACTCATAACAAATGTTCAAAATGTCCTCCGCTTCATTCTACACGCGCATGCCCCCGTCGTTTTTAAAAAGATTTTTGATACACCCTGTATATTTTAGAACTCGTTGCTGTTTTTATCCGCGCCGTTTTTAGTGTCACTTGAAAACAGCACAAATATTCAGACAGTTATTTTTATATTTTATATTGAAAATATTTATATAAATATATTTTATATCTATAATTCTCAAAATGTGTGTGTATGCATGTGTGTGTGATCGGATGCATTTCCACAGTTTTCATCCGATTTCGATTAAATTTTTTTGATTGATAGACAATTCTTCAGTGCCGGTTTTGATCCCAAATTGTTGTCGACAATGGCTCTCCACTACTTCCTGTCCATTATAACTCTCAAATTTACTATCTGTTCTTGGATATAAAAAAAACTTTAATAAAACATAAATAGTTTAAATTATCGCAATAATATTATTTATTATTATACAGTTCCTTTTCAGGGCCAACCAAAATTATTTGGGGATGTGCCTCAGTTGCACTCAAATGTTGTTACTAATATTGATTTTTGGGTGGGCTAACTTTAAACCTAAACTGCTCCAGTTGAATGGCAAAAATTCCTAGTAATGAAAGACCCGGTCAAAGACAGGTTATACTAGTATATATATATATATATATATATATATATATATACTATACTATACTATACTATACAATGTCAAAGCAGCAGCAGTGATAGCCAAATTGAACAAGAGAGTATGGGGCAACAGTTGTAGCGATATTTGTGCCATTCGATATCTTGTTAAGTGAAAGCTTCTGAAAGATATTACAGAAATGACAAGACAAGACAAAGGACGTTGTCGTCCTTAAGACAGTGGTCACTGGCAGTCGAAAAACAGAAGATTCAGACAGGGGCAATGAGACAGCCTCGCCGCAACACGAAAAGTAAGCAGCAACCGTTAGACTGTTCACCTCACCTCTGCCTCGATCGTTTAAAGCAGAAAATTACAACCATAATAAAATTTACCTAATGCTACAACGGTTTCATGGTTTTATTTCTTTGGTAACGATCTGGCAAAAGAACTATTTTAAGCCACACAACTAGAAACTGCTGCAGCCTGAGAACGAACCAGGTGCCTGGTCAGTATTGCATTCCTACACAGTCAGCTCACATTGCACATCAAACTAACTGTATCCCAGGCATGTGTCCTTACTACTCTGCTTTTCCGGCAGCTAAACTTGGGCAACATACGTCAGGCAGGAACAATATGTGGAAAGTTTTACACTCCGATGCCTGCGTCGTATCCCCGTCATCACACGAAAAGACAAAGTTAACACTGTTGTGATGGAGACTTTTGGAGCATGCATCTTCTTTATTGTCATCATCATCTTCGAAGGACGGCCGTATACCAAAAGACATCATGTACGAGGAATTGGCCACGGGACACCATCCGGTAGGCCGTCCTACACTACGTTTTAAGGATGCTTGCAAGAGAGACCTGAAGCTCACTGAGAACATTTAGCAGACGATCGCACCGGCTGGCGCCATGCTGATCAAAGAGCCATGAAGACCGGAAAAAGGCGAAACCAACTGTTGAAGATAAGAAAACACGGAAGTATGCAATGTTAGACTTCCAACCCAACATTCCAGCTTCGTCTGTCACACCTGGGAAGAGAGTGTCATGTAAGGATGAGTTTTAGTCACTCCAAACGTTGCTCGCAAAAAAAGACAATGTTTGACCAAAAATGGTTCTACCATTATCTCGCGAAATAAATGGGTGCCTACTATATTTCCCTTCTCTCTTTTTTTTCCTTTTTCTTTTTTCTTTTCCCTTTTCTTCCTCTTTATTTTCCCTTTCTTCTCATTTCGTTTTCCCATTTCTTCCCGCTTTTTTTCTCCTATTCGTCCGTCATTATTTTTCCTTTCCTTCCTTCTTTCTTTTCCCTTTTCTTCTTTCTTTGCCCTTTTCTTCCCCTTCTTTTCCCTTTCTTTTCACTTCTTTTTCCCTATTCTTCCTTCTTGTTTCCCCTTTTCTTCCTTCATTATTTTCCCTTTTCTTCTCTCTTTATTTTACCTTTTCATTCTCTCTTTATTTTTCCTTTTCTTGCCTCTTTCTCTTTTCTTCTTCATTGATTCTTTTCCCTTTTCTTCTCTGTTCTTTTATTTCCTTCTTCCATTTCTTTCCGCTTTTCCCCCCTTTTCGTCCCTCATTATTTTCATTTTCTTCTTTCTTTTCCCTTTTCTTTTTTCTTTTCCCTTTTCTTCTTCCTTTTCCCTTTTCTTTTTTCTTTTCCCTTTTCTTCTTCCTTTTCCCCTTTCTTTTTTCTTTTCCCTTTTCTTCTTTCTTTTCCCCTTTCTTTTTTCTTTACCCTTTTCTTCCTCTTTATTTTCCCTTTCTTCTCATTTCGTTTTCCCATTTCTTCCCGCTTTTTTCTCCGTCATTATTTTTCCTTTCCTTCCTTCTTTCTTTTCCCTTTTCTTCTCACTTCCTTTTTCCATTTCTTCTTTCTTGTTTCCCCTTTTCTTCCCTCATTATTTTCCCTTTTCTTCTTCCTTTTCCTTTTTCTATTTTTCTTTTCCCTTTTCTTCTTTCATTACCCTTTTCTTCTCCTTTCTTTTCCCTTTTCTTCTCACTTCTTTTTCCCATTTCTTCTTTCTTTACCCTTTTCTTCTCACTTTCTTCTCTCATTTCTTCCCTCATTATTTTCTCTTTTCTTCTCTCTCTATTTTCCCTTTTTATTCTCTCTCTATTTTACCTTTTCTTTCCTCTTTCTCATCCCGTTTCTTCCCAACTTCCCCTTTCTTCTTCGTTGAATCTTTTCCCTTTTCTTTTTATCCCTTTCTCCTCCTTTGACTCATTATCTTTCTTTTTGAGCCGCCCGACCAAGTATGAAATTGAATTAGATGTGTTCATTAATGTGTTTATGTTCTTTGAATTATATGTGTTCATTAATGTGTTTATATGTTCTTTGAATTATATGTGTTCATTGAGTCTAGCAATTAGTAATTATAGATTGATCTCAGATTATCTCTCGAGGAGTCCAGTGTCGCAGCTGCTAATGTTTACTCTTTATTGCCTATTGTGAGGCTAACGGGTGAGAGGTCTTTTTCCCCGCTATTTATTCCTGTCATTCTAAATTAAATACAACCACACGAGATTAGACATTAAGCAACTTTGCCTGAAACAGCCAGAAAGACTGAAGCAACTTCTAAATTGCTTTAAACCAAATAAATGTTACTCATGCAGTATCCGATTCACACCAGGAAATAACTTCGAATTTAATTCCAGTCAGGAGCCTTTCTTTAAAGAAGGAGTTGATCTGTGATGACCTTCAACATGTATTAGAGATGCTAAAGTTAGCTTTGCATTCAATTCTTTCTTTTTATATGCTATGTTCTTTCAGGACGTAGGCGATCATGGCACTCCGTCTCCCTCTATCCTTTGCAGCTCTCAAGTTCTTTCCTTCTGCTTCCTCCCCTCGAACCACGTTCTGTCATCCACTTACTTAAGCCCGACAGGTATGTCACGGGTGGTTTTCGCTTGTCTCTCTTTCCCTCTATTCGACCTGTGTCAATGGGTTGTCTTAGGTGAGTTTAAAGCCACCAAGTTCAAAATCGGTCCTCAAAAGGTATAAGTGCCTGAACTAATATATAAGCAGGAAGGCAATCTATCAGTACTAAAGATATACACACGCGACAATCAAATGACAGGAAATTATGAGCGCCACGCCCGCGAGGGGAAAATAAAAGACTATCCCATTCTTGCGAGAAAAACGTTTGTTAGTATAAAGCACCCTAACGGCAACATTCATTTGAGTCCATATAATTTTACGTTTCAAAAATTTGGTTTGGTTTGGTTTACGGCATATCAACCTCAATGGGTTATTTAATGCCGACAAAATTTTTATTGCTGGTAATATGTTTTTCTTCAAAAATCTATTTCTGGGAATATTTTTCCTTGAAGAAATCTATAGTTGGTAATATTTTTTCCAAAGAATGTATAGCTGTTTTTTTTTTTCAGTATTGCTGATAATAAATTTTTGCTTCAAAAATTATTGCTGGTAATAATTTTTTTTATTACAAAGTATTTCTGGTATTAAAACCTATTTTTACACCAGTTTGGGTGTTAACTATTTGCCCATAGCTGGGACCCTAACAGGTGCTACCACCCCGGGACAGGGTGAACCTGGGAACACCAGCAATTAAGAAGTGGTTGCACGCTCCTCAAAACCTCCTGATCAGATGCCTTGCTGTTGGACGTAGTTTATTGTCTTACCCAGGACGCGGATGTAGTTCATCTCCATATCCAGGACGATTGAAAGATTTGGTCTTGCATTCTTATTTCTCATAAAATCACCGAAGTTAAGCAACGTCGCACCTGGTCAGTACCTAGATGGTTAACCACTTGGTTACAGGTGATGTAAGCTTAGATGTTCAATTTGTGCGATGGATAACGTTGCGAAATTGGAAATTGGAGTTCTAATTCCAGTCGGGTTCATTAGATTTACTTACGCGCAAATACTCTCGAGAAAGGAATGAATTCAACTCTTATCCTCTCAGCTATGGGTTAATTAGTAAGATTTCTATCAGTAAATCATTATTATCTCCAAACATTCATACACTCTAAAGTTGTTTTCTGGCTTTAAATAATGTCAGCAATATACAAACAAACGTTCGGATTTTAACATCGTATAAAAATAAAATAAAACCATGCGCTCGTGTATAACCCTTATGGTATTTTTTCTTCGTAAACCTTATGCCCCTGTTGTGTGTAAATGTTTCTGTCATCGTGATTTTTAAAAAAGGAAAAAAAAAAGAATATTTCTAGTACTAGTTCTCCCACGGCACCGTTGTTTCTAACAGCCCCACGGATCTTTCAACCAGCGCCAGAGAGATGCAACACACATTTTGGTATTAGATTTAGATTTACCTCATTTCTAAGTATAGTGATTTTCCAGGCGTAGCTCAGATGTGGCACAAGGTCTAAAGTATGGGGCACCCAGTGAGGATCGAACTCACTACTCAGTCGCAATTTTTCTAGCGAAACAAGCTTGGTAACCATTACACCACATCGAAGTGCCCCCATTTCTAAGCATATAGAAGTTAAGAATAGGCTTAACATGTGCTACTAAAACCTTTGCGCAAAAAGAGGATCCTACCAAAGGCTTCAGAAAATTATAGACGGTGAAAATTAGTTTAGGGTCTTAAAAAATTACAAGTCACGTATTTTTACACGCGGACTTAGTAGAGAAACACAACGTAGTTTCAAAACACTTAATTAAACACAAGATTTTTTAGTTTCCTATTACCAGAGTTATTCAAACTATCCAGCAAGGCTATTATGAGAGAATTAGAAGTCTGCAGGAATCCTTATACTCGTTTTAATGTTAAAATTTGAAGTATCGGGATTCAATATATTAACAAAATATCGTTACAGGGTCGCTCGTAATTTGGCCGTCTAGAATAATCACACGATTTTCATTGAAGGAATAAAATTCAGTAGAAAAAGACAACGTAGTTTCAACAAATAAACATTAATTTAATATAACGACAAGAATCCAAGCAGTTGGTGATAGATTGGAAAGTAATGTCTTTTTATTTGGGTTAATAAAGTTCTGAAATAAAATATAAACTGTTTTTGTGTACGTATGTGAGAAACAATAAAATGTTGTGATATGTGTGTTTGTATGAAAAAGTCAACATGTGTGTGCGTGATTCATAGTAAAAACGGATACGAGAGATACGAATTGATTCTTACTGTTGGCGGTGTTGCCGTGGTCTGGAGTTTGTCGACGCGCTGTCGTTTTTAACATGAGGTCATGAAGGTCATCAGAGAGAGGTGTGTGAAGTTTGGTGGCAGCCGCGTGTATATTGTTTTGGGAACGGATTTCGTATGTTTTTATACACTTTTTCCGAACAATATCGGCTCCAGAATTAAATTATTTATTTATTTCTAATTGGCTCTAAAAAGTCACGTGGTATGTCTTCTACTACGTCCGTACGATATTTGGTCGGTATCTACCTAAAAATAATGATGACTAATACAACAAACATTCTGATTTGTAATCTATGATTTTATTGGTGTGTTTTAAGATGTAAGTGTTTTCTTGAGTGTGATTGGTTTATAAATATTGTAGTTGATATTTTAGTGGACACGACAAGTCCTAGCAGAATTCATTATTAGCGACAACAATAACATAACAAAATCAAATCTACAGATGACACTGTTGACAGCAGACGCGGAAAGAAAACTACAAAATCTCCTACAGAAGATAGTGAAGGAAAGCGAGAAGAAAGGATAAAACAACAACTGCAGGAAGACAGAATACATGGCTGTTATTAAAACGATGAGTCTAAAGGGGGTGCTGAAAATCAGAGATACCAAAATTAACCAAGTACAAACATTTAAATATCTGGGAAAAATTTTTTAACAGAGAACGGAAAATGTGACACCGAAATCCGAAGGTACATTGAGATAAACAAAGATGCCTTTCAAAAGCTAAGCTAAGAAATAGAAAAAAGAACTCCACTGAAAACAAAAAAAAGAGTATTAAACTGTTATGTGATATCTGTCCTCCTGTATGGCAGGGAGTGCTGGACAGTCTCCTCAAAGATAAAGAAGAGACTTGAAGCAATAGAAATGTAGATCTACAGAAAGATACTAAGGATACAATAGGCCGAACATGTGAGCAACGAGGAAGTTTTAGAGAAAATGGATACAAAATAGAAACTTATGCTCTATATCAGGAAGAGACAGTTGAGGTTTCTAGGGCACGTAATGAAGAAAGAGTTCATGGAAAATCTGATATTCACAAGAGAGATTGAAGGCCCGAGGGACAGAGGAAACAATGTACAGTGCTGTTCGATAAAAGTGACTCACCTGATATTTTTTACCAAATGTTCTCTTCTCCGATGAAACGAAAGTTGAGCTAAATTCAAAGGATAAGCGATCTAAAATCTGAAGAAGGAGCTTTGAAATCTCTTTGAATTTAGCAGTAAGTACTGTCAAGCATTCGTTCAGTATAATGTTCTGGGGATGCTTTTCTTTTCATGGAACTGGTTTCTTAAAACCTATTGAAAAGACCCTCAGGAACGAGCAGTACAAGAGAGTTTTAGAGTTTTGTCTGCTCCCTTCTGCTGAAAGGGTGCAAATCAACCCCCACAAAGCTCATTTTTATGCAGGATAATGCTCTCTGTAACAAATCAAAATTGATGAAGGAATACTTTGATGAGAAGCAGGTGAGTGTTATGACATGGCCGCCCCAATCTCCTGACTTCAACCCCATAGAAAAATTTAAAAAAGGGACCAGTACATAGAAATAAATAAAATTATATAATTTAATTTACAATTTAACATGCTTTTACTGTTATTTCTGTGTATGTTTTTATCTCTGCGAACACGAAGTTATTCCTGTCGGTATGAGTGAACCCAACAAAACTATAGAACAAGAAAATTCAAATAAACTTATAATTTTTCCGAACATTATACATTTTATTATTGGATCTCAATATTTTCATTTTTCTTTATAATCGTGATCAGGGATGCTTAGTTAATGAAAATAAAATCCAATTCCTGAAACATCAACAATTATAGGTAACCTCCGTTCCTACAATTTTATCAAAAACGTAAATTTAAAACTTAATTTAAAATTCCAATTCCTTAATACTTTGTTTTCCACATTTCTCTCTGATAGTCACATATATATATATATATATATATATATATATATATATATATATATATATATATATATATATATATATGAATATGCTTATAAAACACGTAAATAATGAATATGCTTATAAAACACGTAAATTTCAGAAATAAGTTATTCCAAAAAAAAATTTCGCTTGAAGATGGAACAGAGCTTAGTACTTTAATTCAATCTAATTCTAATAATTATATTGGAGTTTTCGGCTCTTGTTTTGAAACATGAGAACTCTTATGTAGCGTGTTGAAATCATATTTTTAAATAAATAATTATATATATATATATATATATATATATATATATATATATATATAATATGAAAATGATGTTTGGCGATTGCTGAGTATGTGTTGAATATGAAATTATCTATCTATCTATCTATCTATCTATCTATCTATCTAAACATGTTCCTTATCTATCTATCTGCTCACACTGGCGTCTACCCAAATATGTCTATCCACTAAAAGTAAAGTAAAGTAATGAAGTGTGAAAAATCTGTCGGTTTAATAAATAAAAATCCATTACATCTTTGGAAATTGATTTGTTTAAGTTTCGGATACAAAACTAAGCAATTATGAACTTCAAATTTCGCCTGTTAACATAAACCTATGACTTTACTCACAACATTTCAAACGCACACACAGACACAGAATTTTGTAATCCATATATACATATCTCTCTGTGACTCAGCCAAGTTCAATCAATCAAGACTCTGTTGATTTCTCTAACACAACACACTTACTGATCAATTGTATTCTTGTGTTATCTATTCTAACAGAAGACTTTTTCTAACATTGATTCCTGAACATTTCTCTCTAAAGAGAACTTTCTTTCGAACAATCAATTACAAATCAAAATACGGTAAAAGAGAAGCAACTTCTTTTCCCTTAATCTATACTTTGAATACAAGTTATTGTATATTTTGTTCTTGTATGTTATTTCAATATATACTTGTTGATTCACATTTGGAGTTTCGTTGTTTTCTTGAATCATTAATAATACAAAAGATATATGCGATAAAGAACACGCCCATAACATGTGTATTTAAATTGCATGTTTTTTTACAGTTGCATACGTATAACAATGTTCCAAGAGAGGAGCTGGGCGTCTTGACCATACAACCGTCGATAGCGAAGAGACTGAATTCAAAGTTTTTAGCGTGAAGTCCGTTTTCCGCCCGGAATATTTTCTGCTGCATACTGGGAGAATTTTTTTTTTAAGAGAAAGTATTTTTGGTTTTATTTAATTTAAACAAAGTTTTAATGTTATTTTTTTATGAATAAAATATTGTTTTCATAGTTATTTATTTATAAGATAATAAATAATAAATATTATATTGTAGTGTGCCACATGATTTTATAACTTTGTAATATTTTAGATAATATTTAATAAAAAGATTTAGTTCTTTATAAAAGAGTAAATAATAAATCTTTATAAAATGGTAAATGATAAACATTTTATTGTAGTTGGTTCACATATTTTTATAATCTTGTTAAATATAAATTTAATCTTGTAAATAAACAATCTAACAACTAAATATTGCGTCATTTTTTTTGTCTTTATTGAAATGCTAAACATAGCGTTTCAAAAGGATCAGATCAAGAACTATCGCCAGTCACAATGAACGGATGTCACCTCGAGGAGGCCCGCGCCTCGAGAGGATATTGGGCTTCAGACACACACCCAACTTCAAGTGGATCCATTGCTAAAGAAGTAGGTAAAATGATCGTCTCCCTGTACTGCTCTGGTTAGAATCTCACTCCTCATACTATCCTCTATTTTAAAAAGTCAGATCAAGCCGAAAATAGAGTACTGTTGCCATATTTGGGCAGGAGTTGCCCAGACCCCACTTTCCAGTCTTGATATTCAAAAGCGTCTCCGAGTCCTTGTTGGAGAGGAATTACTTTCCACCCTCCAACCCCCCTTCTCTCTCTTTCTCTATCTCTTTCTCTCTCTCTCTCTCTCTCTCTCACACACACACACACACACACACACACACACACAAATGCAGGACTTGGCGAATATCTCACTGCTCTATCGCTATTTACAAGGAAAGTGCTCGGACGAACTACATTTCTTGGTTTTTGCCAAGTCTGGCTTTCACTGCCAGGATTCGACATGCCATTTACATTGTACCACTTACATTTCTTCCGTATTCCATCGGCGAAAAGTAATTTCCACTCGAACAGCTTCTTCCTGTCGGAGTTATTTCCCCCTTAATTCCCAAATTGTCACTAGGGGTCATTCTCCCTATACTGTGAAACTGACATCCAAGAAGATGTTTCTTCGATCATTACAATCTTGACCTGTTCAAGTCTAGAGACAACCGTTATTTCCCCTCCTATCCGTATAAACTACCCCTTAAACCTCTACCTCAAGTGGCCCTCGGGCCTTGTACAGGGTGAATCTTACTGTAAAAAAAAAGAACGTCTTTTTGACAAAATGTTTTTGTTTTTGTTTTTCCAATTTTGGCGGTTAAAGTTTGACAAAATTTTCCTATTTTTATTTTATTTTATTTTTTTATTTTTATTTATGTTTTTTATTTTTATTTTTTTTTTGTTTATCTTTTTAGAATTCGCGAAAGTGAGAATTTGTCAGAGACTTTGATCAAATCTTCACACAAAATTATAAATATTCAAACTCACAGTGTAGTCCTGGTCGCTGCCATGGTCGTTAGCGAATCTTTTGATGCTTCACCACAGGCATGCCATACGCTGAAAAGTGTTTAATATTTGCCGATTTTGCGTTGTTTGATGTGTAACTGCCAACTTACCTCAAAGATAAGTAGAAATTAGTTGTGTCGCGTAGACATTCTTGCAGTCTTCAGTCTCGGTGACTTGGCCGTTTCGTAATACAGTCTACCGAAAGTCTCAGTTGACTTTCGGTAGACTGTATTACTACGGAAAAATTTTCTTTTTATAACTCTAAGGAGGGTCATATTTTTTTTTCCTTTTGTTTTAATTGAAGAGACAACTACGATTGATTAAAAGATATTTTTATATCATAAAATCTACTTTCCATTACGTCCGTACTAATTTTTATATAATTAACCCTTTCCCTAGAACCTATCGAATTGCTTGATTCTATTTCGAGTCGACGCAAAAGTGAACTATCCCATTAAAAACATTGGATACCAACACACATTACTACATGGATACTATGTTTCGTCCTATTTGTGACAGAGAGAGAGAGAGAGAGAGTCTGGGAAACACACACGCGTATAGTGGTCTGTTTTTATTTAAATTATTTGCTCTGGATTTACATTGAGCTCTCTGGATTTTATCCTCCTTAGGTTTACCCATACGGATTACCTATTTTTATATATATATATATATATATATATATATATATATATATATATATATATAGTGAAATTGGAGTTGATTTGAACAGTGAAATTAAATCAGAGCATTTTGTTTACTGATGGGGAAATCTGATCTAGGGCAAAAGTTGCACCCATTGAATCTACCCATCAGTAGACAATGGAAATGTCAAAATAATTTTTATCGATTAAAAATTGAAATAGAGCTGAGTAAGCTAGAAGGTACTTTGGAATTCACATGATTTTGTTTGAAGCATCCAGAACCCCGTGATAATCGCGTGCGAACTAGTAGGGCCGAGGATCAGTTATAATCAGCCTGGTTTATCTATATAAACACGTAGTTATGCTGAAAAAGGCAGACTGGAGAAAATCTTGAAGAGAGAATTGTCCCGGGCAAGCTTTGGGAGGAGGAACGCCACTATAACTTTAAGCCCCGAACAGAAATCTTTATCCCTCCATCGCAAGAGTCATATATCGTTCTGAGACGATTTAACAACAAGTTAATCACATACCCTCTCTCTGTGTCTAGAATCCAGTGTATGAGTTTTTACGTTAAATACTTTTCTTTTCTGTAACCCATTTCTCTTCTCTACTATTCTTTTCTGCTATATAAAAGACATTAACAATTCAACCATTGAATAGTTGTTTGTCCGGCTTTCTGCAGATATTAATTTTTTTATGCTGCATTCTAAATTTCTTAGCGCAGACTACCCAGCCGTGTCGACATCTTCAGTCGACCGTGAATGGACGGACATCACTTCTGCTTTCTGGATCCAACAAATCACAAGGTGGACAGGAAGCAGGATTAAACCAGGGGACCGGTTGAATAATCTACGGATGCTCAGGGGACCTACGGCCACTCTCTTAAGTTCGGTTAGGACCGAGTAGACACCTCAACCCAGATGGAAGACGTCGGAGGTTGAGGGGCTGGGGTGAAAGTGTTAGATATTTTACGGACTCTAAACTTGAATTACATAATCTTGCGGGTTTACTGATATCAGAATACAAACAGCTATATACCGCTACAGCTTAAATGAGTTAAACCATATTTTGTATCAATTCAATACTCTTACTAAGAGTGTAGTGATTTATTATTTACTGGCCTGAAGATCGACCTATCGGCCGGCATTGAGGCTAGCTGTTTGCGAAGGGCTCTTGATTGGGCCTTCATCACAATAGGTAGTGAGGAGCAGATGCGATAGGCAAAAATAAACGACAAAAGAACTCAAAATTGATCACTGCATTTAAGTAATCCATTAATATCTCAGCATAAGTACAACAAAACGAGATGTTGAGAGTTGTGTCCCTTTAATTGAAAAAGTGTGACACACTGATATTGACATTTATTATATAGATGAATGCATGTTAAAAGATTTAAGAAAGAAAATGAAAATAATAACTTTATTTACAAGTTAGCTTATCTAATCTTTGCGAAAAAATTCTTAAACTGCTTTTGTACCTTTGTCCTGTATAAAATATATGTGGAATCATCAGTTTACCAAATATCTTTCAGAGCTGTTGGAACGATGTTTTTAAAATAGGAATTCCTATTGTACACGACATCTGTCATTTGAGTCAAACTTGAAAGAATTTAAGGTTTTAGACATAAAGAAAGAATATAATTTTGCTGGTTTTAATTGTTTACATAAGTTACAGTATTTATATTTGTACTATTATCTTCATTTTTGTTGATATTATCGCAACGTTTCGGCCGTTTTGCCCTCCGACCTTCTTCAGGTGTATATTGATATGAGTAACCTACAGGAAATTCCATACGTTTACTTAATCTACAGGGGCAGACTGTTCTCGATCCACTGACCATGTCTAGGGATATCTCGTCTAGTTCTTATTTTTAGTGTTGCTCAGTTATTGCTCACCCTGTTTTTTACTGTCCAAGTACACACTGCCCGATCTAAGGATTGAACTCATAACCACTACGTCACCAAATTCACGAACAAACACTTTAATCCGCTAAGCTATTGTCTCGTTTTTATGGAAGTCGAGATGCCAGGTTAGGGCTGATAAAATTGCAGATTATTCTTTGAATTTTTTCACGACTCTCTAAATACGTAGCAGAAGCACTAGACCAGATGTGGCAGCAATATTCAGTGCATG